TCCTCCAATGGCTGAATCAGCAGACAGAGCTGTCACTAACTTTGAGCAAATAGAGGATCACAGTTTTAGACTGAGATTTCACAGGCATTGCCTGCAATTCAAAACCTTTTGCCCAGGAATTATAATGCATATTTTTCTTTTGGAACTCACAGTGGAAACATTTAATGTCATTCAGAAGCCTTCTGTACTGGTAAAGCACTAGCAAACTTACTGCAAAGACTCTTCCAGAAGTAATCTCATGGTTTCCCTTAAAAGGAATTGAGGCATTCCTTTTGGGCTTATCATAAAGCAGCATGGGAACCACAGAGCATCAGCAGATAAAAAGAGAAATACTTCAGACTGAAATGATACACTCAAATGATTCAGATTAAATAAAACTTTCCAAGCATATGTGACAAGATAAATGTCTCTGAAGACATACATGATTTTTTAGAATGCTACAATGGCCAAAAATTTCTGTCCAAGCTGCAAATCAAAGAGAATTTGAACAGCAAAGTCTTTTCACTTAAGAGTTTCCAAACCACTAATGTTTTCAACATCAACATTCTTCTTATAGGAGCCGATTCCTTCACGTCTTCTAAAAGTGCAATCAACCACAGCAACAGAATTTTGTCACTTTCGGGAAGAAATGCAGGAGATACTTGAGAGCACTAGCTATACAAGCTTCTATTAGTGGATAAGGGTAAGATAAGGACTTGCAGTACTGTAACATGCTTGTTACTGTCAAGAGACAAAATTCAACAAGAATTATTTTTAAAGAGATAGTAAACTTCATTGTTTGTCTTTTAATCAATTTTCCTTTTTTTACACATAGAACATCCAACTTAACGGAGTTCCATCTGATTTGGACTTTCCAAAACAACCACAGTTCACTCCAGATCATGAAGATGCCTCAAGTAACTCACAGAATATTCTACTGATACAAATCTGACTGATATCTTACCAGATGATCAAGACTAAGCTCACATGTTTCAAACACGTCCCAAACACAAACCAAGTGTAAAATTTTCACAGCAGTACTAAAAAAAGCAATGCTGGAGAGAACACCACAGTTAATGATCTCAAATATATGACAATATGATCGTTTCAGTGGAAAGGGGGCTGAGTCCACAACTCAGTTCCAATTCAGCCATTTGAGAAGTCCTACTACAGGGTGGGTGGAATAGTTCGGATTATCAGATTTAGCATCTGAGCCTTTTCTTACCAAGTAAAAATTGCTTCTGAGCAGCAATTTCATTTTTGCCCTGAAATCTGGCTGCTGTGGGGACTGTTGAAAGTAGTTTATTTGGTATCTGAAGAACGCTTTTCTTCATACAATTTCATTTACATACTTAGCATTATTTTAAGCACATTTATAATTCTATACATACACAATACATATAACTATATGGTAAGAATATACAATTACTACATTATACTGGATCATATAGGCATTTTCTACATGGTTTTGAATCCTCCTATCAAACTGTAACAGAAATTCTAACCCTGTTATAATTCTATTTTCAAACACTTCATGTGTTTTATTGTTGACTTTTTACAGTATTGTTTCCAGCAGGGCAAAGCTGGCAAGTTCACAGAAACACACGTTCAGGATTGTGTCTAAGCTACTTCCCTATGAATACTGCTACTTGTTGCCAATCAGATTAACTTTTTACTGTGATGTTACTGGCAAACACTGCTTAGAAAGCTTAGGTAACTCAATTTCAAACACTGCTCGAAAAGCAGTTTGACAACAAAACCATGAAAACAACCCTACACAGTACTCCAACTCTTCAGAACACTATCAAAATATAATAATTGAAAGATGAAAGAAAATTTCCTCTTCAGTTCAGTACTATCTCCTATATAACTAATAGTAATATATCCAAAGCAGGCACATTCTTTTATTTGGAATTGTTTCCACTGAACATAATTAAAACCCTTCACACGTACACGATTCCACAGTTGCTGTAGCATCTACAGGCAGAGTAAGATCTGGGAAGGAATCTTAGGATAAAACATTGTATTTGAAGTTATTTGAAAACCTTCTACATCACAGTTTGTTTCCTGTTAAAAATCAAACAAACATTCTGGGATGCCACTTCAATTAAAAAAAAAAAAAAAAAAGAGAGAATAACTAGAACATTTCCAGGGAAAAATCAGAAATTATATACAACAGATTCTAGATCACACTCTCGGAAGAAAAACGGAAGCTTTTTCAGAATAGCAAAAACACTGCCTCAAGTGAGCCTCAAAGTTTTGAGAATCAGGGTAAAGCTACAAGCAGATATTTAACTGGATATGTGAAGTAGAAGACTATCTTATAAAACAAAACCAGAAGATAAGCCTACACCAGTTAATTCCCTGAAGGTAAACTTCCTAATGAATAGTAGCAAATTTGTTTTTAAGTACCGAATTTTTAGATACAGGAACTATTTACCTACAACACTTTTTTCCTTAACCCTCCTGCAGAAACGTTCTAGCTACAATGAAGAAGCATAATTTTGTAATGCAAAAAAGGCTGTACCTAGTCAGACTGAAGGATTCATTTTGCCTTGTTTCCAGCAGTAACCAAAAGGAAACTTAGAGGGAAGAATAAGGACAGAGCAGGCATGCAGGGATCTTTCAAAAAAAACAGTTTGCAACTGTGTAATTTCATAGGTCAGAGGTTGGGCAAATTCAAGGAAAAAGATTCCAAGATGATGAGATATTCACCTCAAAGCTACAGGCTTTCAGCTGCAAGGAGCTTTGCAGTTTCCTGTTGCAAGAATAACAACCTCCCTTGGTAGTAAGTCTGCAGGTCTCATTGATACCCTTTAGAAAAGGTTCATAGAAATCAGCTTTTCACTGTTACTTAGTCTCTACCATATCTAACTTCAGCCATTTTTCCAGCTCAATATGGTTGTTCTTCAGGTGGAGCCTTCTGACACCTTTGATCCTTGTCCAAATTTTTAATGTTGAATTCTCTAACACGCTTTTGAGATAAGCAGTCCAGACTTTTGGACACTATTCAGGTTGCAAGGGATCCACACAATGTTATTACATTCTCTGTTCTTATTGGTTTCCAAATAGTTGCTAACATTCAATTTCCTTTACAACTTATTGGTCATAACCAAGATCATAACCAAGCAAAATTCAAAACTCACACTCCATCACTGCATATTCAAAGTTGGGATTTCTCCCTGTCTCACTCCCATGCACGTTACTTATTTATAATCTATTTGCTCTCGTTTTGTTTCTCAGATCTCACAAGATGTGCTACAGACAGCACTGGCCTTTGTTACAGACATATCAGCATACTGTGTTACCTCCTTATTCAGATGTTCTGGAATACATGGAAATAACAAGATCCTACGTAAGAGTGCAGACACAGGTCAAAGTCAAATAACCAGAAGATACAGTAGACTGATCTGCCTGTTATTTTATGACCAAAACTCAAGTAACTTGGAATCACTTCTCTACAAAACTAATAAATCTGCACATTCCAAACCCATCATGTTAATTCCTCAGAAATAAAATGAAAATTCACAGATCAATTAAGTGAATATCAAACCTATAACAAACTAAAACAGCCTGCCCTATCCATATTGCATTTAGTCCATCAGGTTTCTTGTCACGACTAAACCTCAGAACTATGGCACGAACTGAAATAAATTCTTAGGAATTAACAGAAGGGTATATGCCTTTTTTTTTTTGCCAAGAATGAAAAATATTTTAGACTTCCTGAAAAGAATAGGGTAGAACAGCTAAACCCCTAAAATTAAAGGGATGCTTATTAATAAAGGCAGATTTAAAATGGCTTTCAAAGGTTCCTGAAGATGCTACTCATATTCCCTCAAAAGAGCAATAGAGCTTACATCAATGAAGCGCTAAAGGCACAGATAAAACTGTTGAATGAACAAAGCACAGTCCAGGGATAAAGTGTGGTACACAGTTTTGGACTGTGGGGGAGAGAAAGAATATATTGATTCAAAAAGCCATTTTTCACATAGTGCCCATTAGTATCCAGAAAACACATCTGAACATAAAAAAGGGTAAAACCCTAGAGGACAAGAAATCTAAAGTGGAAAGACAGAAAGACAGAAAAATCCTCAAATACCATGATCACCCATGAAGAATATTTTTCCAAGGTTGTTTTTTTTCCTTTGTTATAAGGGTACAGTACGAAGCTTCCCGTCAAAAGTTATTTTTCTTTCCCCCAATCTTTTCCAGTGCAAACAGTGCTTCAACACAAGATGAGAACTTCGTAAGATTATTCATTGCCAGTTCTGCTCAACTACATCAAGGCTGTGTTGGGCCACGACCAAGGCAGTATGCAACAGCACGTAATAGCCAAGTCTCAGTTGAAGAGTCAGATGAATGCTTATCTACTGGTTTAAAATTGGGCCTGACGCCACATTGTGGGGAAGGAAGAAAACTTCAGTGAAGTTTTTCCCTTTCAAGAGTTTAACCTAAACACAGATTGGAGAGAATTTATATATACACGTGTATTTATTCATTTTTATATAAATGTATGTAGGCTGGAGTTTTATTTCTAACTTGCTCTTTATTGTACTGTTCAAACAAGTAATTTGCAGAAGGTCAGGCTTAGCTAAAATTTCGTTTGCCACCAATATATCAGAATTGGAGTAAGTACTGCCAATCAAAGCAACAGATCAGCTGTCAACTACTACCACCTCAGCAAGGTAAGGGCACATTTCACCATTTAAACATTGAGTTAGAGCCCTGCATTTCATCCATACTCGAATTCTTTCAGTTACTTCCTTTATTACCATTGCATTTGATATAGTGGTAAATATTCCTCTAATTATCTGACTCAAGTTTTACAACCAAGTCTTCAGTGTAAGCTGTGTACAGGCCACCTATCCCTACTCAGCAAAACCCACCTGTAGTCCAAGCAAGTTCTGTATGTGCCTTAACACCATTGAACACTTAACTTTAAAAATTAGATTTTACAGGAAAACCTTGACCAGAAGCTAACAGCTATGACAGATTGAAACTCATATGGGAAAGACACATACCACTCCATCGACAATCTTCCAGTCGGCACAACTTTCATATTTTTGCAGCTGCTTTTCAAAGAGTTGTGCTATGGCTCGATGGACAAGTTCATACTGCTCCTATAGCAGGATACCAAACAAGAATTAGTGCATGAGATCTTTATAAAGAATGACGGTACGTTATCATATGATAAAGATTCATTTTAAAACAAACCATACCTTTGTCTGCACTGCAGAATGCCTTTGTGTCCTCATTTCCTGTATTAAATTAAATACATTGAATTCTTCAGGAATTTTCTGAAATACAGAAGGAAGTCAGTTACATTGACATAACTGTTTGTCAGAACAGCAATACAAAAGCTGTTAAGACATCCAAAAGTATGTTTAACCTCTGTAGGTAAAGCCAATCTGTTCTCCCCACACTGCAGCTATTCAAAAGTTTTTTAAAAAGCAATTTGTCTCCAGTACTAGCTTTAAACATTTGATTTAGACCAGATGACAGCATTTCAAATATTCTGGAAATCTGACATCCAATGAAAGCATTAATAGGACACTGCAACATTAATGACGCTTCATAACCTAAAAACCCCTGAATGAAATTATCCCTGTGTATTTGAAATATCAGGCTTTAGGAGCTGCAAGATTAAGCAGAGACACAGAAAAAGTTGAATTCAAAATTGCTTCATATTGAAATACAGTTTAAAAATATTTAGAATTTTACAGTGTTTTTTTTTTAGACAAAAATTTGCTGTCAAAGTAAAGTAAGTTCATACTAAAGCATGAATGCAATGAAATAGCATCCAACCTGCCAAAAGAGTTCTTGAACGCCTTAAACATGTCACTATTTTAGAACATTCGAAAGCTCAATCAATCACTGTTATGAAATTACAGAATGCCACAAAATTTCTTCTAAGATTCCTTACCCCAGCTTTAAGCAAATTCCATGTATAATCTATGGCACAGATGGCTCCTGTTCTTCCACACCCTGCACTATGAACAGAAACAGTTAGGTGTGTTAGAAATTATTTTGTTAAAAACACACTATAAGCTTTTTAGTTCCAGAGTCCACATGAAAAAAAAAAAAAAAATCAAAATCACTCAGCTATCATTTTAAGCCCACTCAACCTGACACTATAGTGTCTTAAAATACAAACATAGCAGTGCAAAATGCGAAATGGAGCACTGAAGTTTTTAATGCAAGTCTTCCATAGCCAATCAGAACTGCAATCATGAAAGATTCAACACTGACATTTTTATTGCCTCTTTCGTCACACTATTCCTAGTTGCCGCTGGTTGAACAGTAGGGATTTGTCCAAGTTTAACGATAGCTATGTTAAAGAGTAGAACTGAATACATTTAAAGACTTCCCATATTTTTCTGATTTAGTATCATACCTGTATTTTCTGCTTTTTATTTAAAAACTTGAATCTGAGTTACAAAAAATGACAGTGAACTATCATATTTGATCTTCCCAATAGTAAGAGTTTCTCTATTTTACACATGAAGACTTATAATGCACACATATTTATTACACTATATAATTAGACCGTGGTAAAGAACCAACCTTCACAACTGTATTGACATTCAACAGAAACAGGACAAAGTGAAACAGATTTCAGTGCTAAGGAAGTTTTTTATGGTTTTGGACCTCAATTACTTAAGAGTGACAAGTTAAAAGAGAATGCAGCCAAGGACATTAGATTTCTATACACTTAAGAGAACAACCAAGGTTAAAGAGTTAATAACCCCCAAGAGTTTAACATTTCCTGGCTTCTGAATCTGAATTCAGTTTTTCTGACGTACAATACATTAACTTCTGTTGCTTTAAAAAGTATCAAATATCATAGGTAAGAACTTTCCAAAGATACTGTCAGAAACTATCAATTCACCAAAACATTTTATGGCAGTTTAGTTTCAACAGTCTTTCTGTTAGCCAAATTTCAGTTCAAAGATGAAACTACTGCTCAGAAGCAAAGACTTACCAACCAGAGACTTCAGCCTGCTCATTAGAGATCTTTCTTGTCATATTAGAAGACAGATAGAAAAGTTTTTAGGCAGCGATGCACCTGCTATGTAGTCTCTCCTATTGAGAATGGAGCCTTCACTCCCTCATCTGATTTGCAATGATCTTCAAAGTCTATTTTGTCCTAACGAGGATTTAAATGTCTTAAGAACCACAAAACAGTTTAAAGGCTAATTCTTCTCTGATTGACATTCTGTCTTACACTAAAGAGAAGCAAAATTTCACTGTGGCATGAGTTTGAACACGAGACTGTATGATTTTGAGTCAAGTTTTGACATGAGGAAATATTGCTTTTTTAGAAAACGAAAATAACTAACTTCTGATTTAGAATCAAACTAGTGTATCTCATACCAAAAGTCTAGACTCGAAAAAAAAATCAAAATGTATATAACTTAAAAAATAAATATATTTGATACCTGCAGTGTATGCAAATTGGTACATCTTCATGTTCCTGGTATTCTCTCATCAAGCTGATCATGTCCAGAATAGAATCAAAAGACGAAGGGACATCATGGTCGGGCCAGTTAACATAATGGAATTGATAGACACTACGAGTCTCCTAAGGGAGAAGGAGGGCAAAAGGTGTTAGCATCTATTTGAGGAGTTTGTATGAAGTAATTACTTCTACGAACCTTCACTTTTTGCATAATTAAGGATGGGCAAGCAAAGCCACTCACTGCATCAAAAAACCCCTACAGCTTATACCGCTTAGAAAAACAAAAAGGCAATTCTGAAGTAGTACTTGGAATGCTGCTAACGCACGGGAGAAAGCACTACGGGACAGTTCGCAGAAGTCCCCCTCTATAACACATGGGTTAAAGAACCCACAGCATTGCACGGCTTTAAAAGACTCTCTGTCCTTACTGTCTTAAACTTCAAAAGCGAGAAAGAAAGGGAAAGACCACCATGAAAGGTTCTTTTTCCAATCATACTCCAGTAACCCACATAGAAAAAAAAAAAATAGGTGGATAGGTGGGGGGTGTTGTTGCTTTGTCACATTACAAAATAAAGTGTGTGCATGTGCACGTGCACACAGAGGGAAATTCAGGAAACGACATAATCCATATCTAAAAATGGATCACACGTGCAACAACAGTAGGTACATTTCTCTTCTAGTTAGCTCATGTTACAATAGCACTAAAGACAAGGCAAGAAGCAGGCCTTGGAACAGCCTAGTTACTCAGGTACCCGAATCCCTGCAAGACCAAATCCTCTCTCTCATTATCCAAACCATGTGCAGTACAGCTAGTTCTACCGCACCTTTACAAGCTGTTGTCACATCTCTGGGTTCTAGTATACCCTCACAGTGATGTACTAGAGAGGCATATGAATTTTTTGATCAATGTTACAGGTTACGAGTTTCAAAACCTATGCTACCTTCTGGTTAGGTATTTGAGAAGCAACATAGTGGGCCTCTTGAGCATGGAAGTTTATATTGGTTTCCAACTGAATCAACTTTTTTTGATGCTTTGCTTTTGCCAGACCTGTGGAAGTGCTGTAGCTAGTAAAAACAAGAGAAAATCCAGCCTAAGAAAAGAAATTTTAAAAATTCAACTGACTACGTAAAATCAATGTCATCAGTAAGAAGGAAGAAAAGTTACAGTTGCCTATTAAGGTCCACCAAGAACTTTCACTTAATTACATTTACAGAGACAAAATCAGTGATTTTTCATATTAGCAGAACTGTCAGAAACAGAAAATATCTGAATTTATGCTTTTTATATGGAAACTAAAATTAAAAGGAACCTTCATAGTCCTTTTCTACTGCTACTTTTTAAGAAAGAACCTGGTGGTTTAGCTTAAAATAATCTTCAAGTTTCAATCAAACTGATTTTCCTCATAGAAGCTAGAATAACTTTGTATATTTATATGAATTTTATATTCTTTGGCATAGTATTTTGTAAGATACAGAAGTGACAAAACTTTTCATTATTCTGGAAAATCAGAAACTGAACATAAAAGGATATTACTTCATACCACAAATACATATTTTCCTCCCCGGTTCAAGGCTACACTTAGGATTCTTCAAAGAAAGATGAAAAGTCTGTAATTCATTACCAAAAAGCATGCCCACAGAAATTCTGAAGCAAATTTGGCAAGTCTGAAGAAAGATCATTTTATCAGCTGCATAGGTTGAATATCAACATATCTTGTTAATCCTTTCAGTTACATTACTCCTTAAAGGAATGTGAACCTTGTGCTCTTTGCTAAGATCAAAAGCATAGCAAAATGTAGCTCCTTGTTATTACTTACTTTTTATGCAGTACACAGGCAACCTATAAAAATTAACTGGAACAGAACCGATGGAAGTCAAGTAGCTAAACACGATTTGCATACATATATAGCATATGCAAGCAAAATATAAGTTAGCCACAGTTCCTGAAGTAACCACTTCTCATGATAATCAGACATTAAAAGTAATGTAGGTTCTGCTTAGGGGTTTTTGATATCTTTTCAGTTCTATTTTTAAGTGCACCATTTCACAAATTGTTGCAAACCCCATAGTTGTTACGCAGTTGGTGTCTGCTACCTAAAAAGTTTCATAGCACACTAACAGAAACAAACTAATTAAAAGTTCACGCATCCCACCACAGGCACCGAGCAAGCTACTGCAGACAAAAATCACCCCCCTCATGATTAAACAGTTTTCGTAACTGTTGTGATATCAATTGCTGAAATGGAACAAAGCATTGCTAAAGAGAACATAACCATAAGTGAGACTAATCTGTAATAAATAATTTCTCAATACAGGTTGCCAATTAAAGTTACAGGTATTCTGTAAAACAGACTATGAACCCTCATGTTTTTGCAGGACAGCTCTACACTTATTTTTATTTACTGACAGTTGCTTTTCAAAAAATAAAAGTCAACTCAAATCTGACACTTAAGTATACATTTGCAGGAAAGTCTTAAATCATTCATTCTTAACACTTATATGACAATGCAAGTGCTTTTATTTCACTGAAAATATAACAAATTTCACAATTAACACAACACTCACTTTATGAAGTAGGTCTCAAGTTTTACAGTAGTTTGTGTTGTAAGTTTTCAGCAAGATGCATAAACTCAGTTTCTTCCATAAAGAAACTAATTATAACCATTTAAAGCTGGCAGCTTAACAAAGTGTAAATGGATTTGTTTACCAAAATACTTGTCTGGTAAGCCAATTCTACATCTTGAACACCAGGATATCAAATCTTTTACAAATTCTTTAGTCTTGAGCTCACTTTTAAAAGTACATTTCTATCTTGACCCTTCAATATACTACATACAATTCCTTCATGCAGACATTGTCCAAGCAAAAAAAAAAAAAAAAGCAACTCAATTCAATCAAGAACATTTCACATTTTTCAGATCTATTTCAATTCCAAGAAGAGTAACGTTTTATAAGCTAGAGTAAGAAACTTTTTTGGGAAAAAAATAAATCACTAAGTTGCAGTCATTCTTGCTTTATTTTTATTTGGCAATACAAATACATGAACAGGCATCAGAAATATCTTTTAACATTGTAAAACCCTGCAAAAAATTGCCAATAAATGAAGTATAGGGCAAATTCCATAAGTACACATACTTTATCCAAAAAGCAGCTAACTAGCAGCAACAGGAGATTTTGACAAGTTTGATTCAGTTTTTCATTATATATTCAGTTGGGGTAAACAGGGAAATTCTCCTATGGTGACAGAAGCTTTCTAGTTGTTAACACATGATATTGATGACTACCACATACCTGTGGCTAATCAAGAACATATATAAAAGACAAGTAGAGTTTCACTACTCTTTTCTTATATACTAAGCTTTTAATATCACTTCTAAACTTGACGATTTACATACAGAGTCAGCATCTATAAAACTGAAGATATTTTCATGAGTTTCCTCCATTGTACCATCTACAGACCTTTGAGCAACCATTGAAATTGAGACCAGAAGTGGTTGTATACTTACATTTTGAAATTCAAGTAATAATGTTCTAATGAAGTAATCTGTTCTTGCTTGCTCAGCTTCCTAAACATGAGGAAACAGGAACGAAATGGAAAAAAGGTCAACATGCAACACACAGGATATAACTGAAAACCCAAACTTTAAACTCGGGTGTCTTTTTTTCTTAATTTACTGGTTTTGTATCTACAATTTCCCCAAAAGACAGGCAATCAAAACGTTGATTTTAAAACATCAGCAACTTAGATTGCTACACAAGATACCTGTGAAAAATGTTATTTTTACTCAAAATAAAACCACAAGTTTTCAAACCAGTGTCTCGCCTGCTCCTGAAAACATCAATAAACCTCATAAGAGTATTTTAAATAGTTCTTTTGCTTTATTTCTCCATACATTTAATTTACAGATTGCCTCCTACAGCCATCCTTCTATAACACTTATGCTGTATCAACTTCAGCCTCTTACCACTCTATCCCACGTCATCTCCTTTCATTTTTTCCCCTTCCATTATTTTCAGTTAAGGGTGCATCTAAACGCAGAAAGCTTAGTATTACAGCTTCCCACAGTGAATTTAGGAGACTGCATATACATTTTCACCTGTTCCTATCTACTGCTAGGAAGTTCCTATCTACTGCTAGGAAGTTCCTATCTACTGCTAGGAAGTTCCTATCTACTGCTAGGAAGTTCCTATCTACTGCTAGGAAGTTCCTATCTACTGCTAGGAAGTTCCTATCTACTGCTAGGAAGTTCCTATCTACTGCTAGGAAGTTCCTATCTACTGCTAGGAAGTTCCTATCTACTGCTAGGAAGTTCCTATCTACTGCTAGGAAGTTCCTATCTACTGCTAGGAAGTTCCTATCTACTGCTAGGAAGTTCCTATCTACTGCTAGGAAGTTCCTATCTACTGCTAGGAAGTTCCCTTGGAGGTTTAAAGGAGATGGCACATCGCTAGCAGCAATGGAGCCCATATACACCATCGTACCCACAGGTAACACTCTCAGCTGTAGCTGAGGAGTCAATGACAACGTACGCACAATCCCTTTTCACAAATACTTGCCATATATGAGAGCATCATCCACTATGTTCAGGGAAAAAAAACCACAAACCAAAACCCACAAAAAAGCCAACCCCCCAGGCCAATTTTTAGATCAATTTAAGGTAGGAAAAGGCTACTCAAAATGTTTATAGACTGAAATTTGTAAGTATACGCTTTCTTGACAGGATGAAGTCAAAATGTACTTAATGCTTGGTAGACTATTTTGAAGTCAGATTAAGAATAGCTCAATAAACTGGCATGCTACCTCTTTATGAGCACCTTAAAGCACTTCAGCTAGAAAATAGCAGCAATTCCTGTCCAAACCCATGTAACTTTGAGTGAAGGAGAAGAAAAGTTTTGAAATCAATTTGGAATGGATCAATTCCACTGCTTCAGGATTAAGTGAACAGCTAAGGCCAATCGTGAACTGCAGCGTAAAAAGTTCACAGTAAGATCATTTACACTGACAATGGTTATAATCTTTAATGCCAAGTTTCATTCATATCCTAATAGTAACTAACAGAACATATTAGAACCTGAAGATACTACCAGGCAGACAGTTTAAAAATAATGACATGAAGAAGTGTTTTCTTTCAACAACACACTAGAACCTGAAGCTACTACCAGGCAGACAGTTTAAAAATAAAGACATGAAGAAGTGTTTTCTTTCAACAACACAATGATGAGAACATCAGAAAGAGGGACAAAAACCAACCAAAAAAAAAATGTATCAAATTCATCATCCACTGCATTATAAAAATATTGATAATGCAGGGGCAACATCAAATTAAAGGAGTCCTGCTAGTCCCTCACTAGAAGATGACAACAAGTACAAGGAGAAGGATCACCCTATACACGGCTTATTTTCTATTCTCTTCCCTCAAGTAATTAGGCTGTCATTGAACACAACATGATAGGCTGGGATGGCCCTTGGCATCATCCAGAAGTGAAGGCTACGCGATCACAACTCCAAGAGCTAGAAGTAGTGCAAACAGGCCACATGTGTTTAAAGCAGGAAGGAATACAGATACAAAAGCAGGTGTGTACAAAGGCCACCGGATACTATCCAACACCTTGGGAATGCTGGTATTTATTTTGATGGCTATGATCCCACATCCTGAAAACCTCAAAATTAATGAAGTGAATTTCTGCAACATAACCAGTCCCCCTTTTGTGAAATGGTAATTGCACCATGACTTCTTTAACTTTCCAGCTTTCTCTACTGCGGAAAGATGACTGCAAAAACCCACTGGGGTACACTCCTGTGTGATGCTGAGATGACAGGTGCCAAAAGAATGATTACTTTTAATTCCCTGCTGTGCTTGGTGTAGAGGATATCCACAGTCCCTCTTCCTGCCTATTAATCTGCCAGAAATCCTTACGTTACCATTTATGAGCTAGAATCAAAACTGGAAGAGGCTCAGAGATCAGAATTCCTGATAACACTGACAACATGCAATAGAAACGTTCAGGTTTCCTCCTTCTGGAATCATAGCTTACTTGACAGTTACACCCCAGGAATTCTCCAGGAAAAGATTCAGACCCCATCGTGATCTGCTGCTCATTCTTGTTTTGATTTTAAAAGCAACAATAGAAGCATAGGAAATAAGTATTTTCAAATAAACCCGTATCTGTTACCAACAGAAATAAGTTTAAAAAAAATTAGGAGCTTAGTCTCCGTTTTCTTTATTCATGCTAATTAACTTTATGTAACTAAGAAAAGAACCTATTCTGGTGTTACTTTCACTTCTCATTTCTCTTCTTCATGCACATCCAGAATGCACAAGTCGTAACAGAGAAAAACAACTATCTGAATATGATCTGATTTCTTGAGAATGGTACAGATATTCAAAACTAAATCATGTAAAGCTAAAGAAACGATACATAAAAAGATACAAGACCAAGGCATACAGGTTCCCTACTTTTTTTTTAAAAAAAAGAAAAAAATAATGGAGGATTCAAAAAACCACACAGCTTAGATACATACATTGTTTTCCACTGCATTCCTTTGAGAGTCTTTGTGTAAAATTTGGCACCGAACAATTAAAAAAGCATTTGTTTTGTAATACAAACTATTTGTTGAACGGTTATTTTAAGTTTCAAAAGCATCTAATCTTCAAAATTGATTTATAAAGCTTTATACTTACACAAGAAACACGAAATGGTCCAAAAGTTACAGCTGCTTCTCCATACAGAGGCCAGTAACGTTCACATTTTTTCTGTTAAAGCAAAGAACCCTAATTTATTTCATGTGTAGTACCAAAAGAAGATGATTAACAGAAGCAGAGCAGACAAAATTATAATCTCAAATGCCTTATTCTCTTATTTGGTGCTTTTCCTCAACATCTGGCTACTGGTGCCTTGCTGGACTTCTTTTAACATTAAGTAAAATGTCTTTTCTTTTGGATACCAAAAGAAAAACAAAACCAAAAACCCAGATGGCCAATAAATACAGACAAAATACACTTTGTAAATTAGGATGTGAACTTCATGACCACCTACATATGCACAAGCACACATCATAGAGGGAAGCAATGAGAGCTAATTTAGTTTCTGAAAGTTTGGAGTTCATAATTCTGGACCACCTTTTTTTTTTTTTTTTCCTTCTCAGATCATAAGAATATAGCAGAGAGATTCAGAAGACAGGTTTTGCAGCTGTATCAGTGGACAGGAAACTCTGAAGGATTCAGGATTTTGACAGTTAGCCTGCATCCCATGAAGAGTAAGACTTTTCCAGTGACATGACCAGAAACAGAGCACTGGTACAGTTCTGTATATATGTAAATTCCCCCAAGATGACACATAAATCTTCACAGGTATTGGCACAGTGCCCCACATGGGCAATGCTTGTTTAGTTTTGCGTTTAGCATACGTACCCTTCCCATTTCAAATTCTCGACAAGCCATTACAATTATCTGAAAAGAAAAAAATATGGTAGAAGTTAGCTGGGTTTAGATCAAGTAAATTCACCAACACTTTACTGCTTGCTTCTCTCCAGGCAGATACTGACACTCCTTAACTGGTTACTATTCAAGAGACTAATTAATACTTTTTTCCTACCTGAAGATGCATGTCTGAAATAGTACTCAAGTTTTATCCTGCACAAAATAACCTACAAGACCAATAAAACATTTTAAAGCTTCTTAATTTAATTCACTGTAATCCTGTATCAATACCTTACTTATTTATTCATCCTAACTGTAAAGTCCAAAGTTAATCACAAAAATATAGAATCATTTGCTGACTGGGAGAAACATAGCTGTATTTGTTTAAAATGACATAGACTGCTTCAAATAGGTGCAGAAACCTATTCAAAAAAAACAATAATCAGATTTCTTAGGGGAAAGCTATTTCAGATACATTAATGTGAATAGCACAATAAAAAAGTACCAACAGGAAAGCTATCTGTTACAATAAGTAACCATGATTTAAGTGTCTGATAAAACAAAAAATATTTTCAGAAATAATTTGTTGAACATATCCAATTTTAACAGTACTTAAAAGTTAACTGCTGACAATAGCTGTTTAAACAGATGTAGAATATATAAACCAATAAGTAACACAAACCCAGCATAAATGGAAAGGCAAGCTTTTATTTTTTTTGTTTCACATGCTGCCTCTGTATCTGATTTTGTCAGGCCACATTAAGTCAGAGTTGTAAGGTCTCCCACAGGACAGATACAGCCAAGCACCAACCTATTCATAAATACACATGACATCATATTCATTCAATAAAATTATAACTTTGAATTTGTATCATTAAATTGAATAAATATTATTAACAATCTACAGAATTATATTTAAACTCCAAAAACAAGATTTGAGAAGTAAATAGACTAAATCACTGTCAACATTTTTGATAATAGCAGCCAGCTCAGGCAACAGACACACAAACACTGTGCCATGAAAAAAGGTAATACCCAATTTTGGTTTTTAAGTAGGTACTTACAGCAACATTGTATTCCCATATCATCCTCCAGAAGTCTATTACTGTATTTGCTAATGGTCCCTGGGTAGCAACATATGCTTTTGGCCCATGTACTCCCTAGGATTGCACAAAGGAACCATTAATGTTTAGAAAGAAAATTTATCTGCACTGAATAAAAAAGGCTTTAGGTTATAATCATCTAAAATTAGAATTATTATTTTTTTTATACAACAGGAAGGGTGAATATGAAACATGAGCCCCATTACATTAGTGGGAATTGCGCCAGTGATTTCAAGGGGCCCAAAATTACAAGAGCTACTGTGCTGCCAGAGACTGTAACAGAATATACTAAAGTTTCTGTATGTTTAGATTCTGAAGACTTCCTTTAAGTCCACACTTTCTTTGTTACTAAACATTTAATGATGAAAATTTGAAAATCCTTCTGCTAAAAAGCATCCCCTTGAACAAATTTAAGTTCCACCCTCCCACTAATACTGCATTTCAAAAATCCAAATTTTTAAAATTTGTTTTATATAAAGCTTGAAGACATTTACATTCAGCTTTTCAAACTAAACATTGAAGAACTGAGATTTACAGGAACACCTGTTTCTGAATCAGCATTACTGCATAGAAGTAGCATCAGAATAAGGCTACAAGGAAAGTTCAAGATATTTACACTTTGGAACAAAACTGTAACAGGCTTTTAGCCAAATTCTGGCTTCTCTTTAAGAATGTGAGACAATTTCATTGCCACACTTCTGCCATGAACAGCAAGAAGTGCATATTAGCATACACAATTTGTCAAACGCTTCATTTATGATCCCTAAAAACAGCCTCTCAAAATCTTGTATTTTTAATACTATCAACTGTTAAAACAATCATACCCGAATTTTCCTGTAGTATAAAGTTCCAATTTGGTTGCCTGTCACGTTAAAATTAAGTATATAATACTTACACTTAGAATAATACTAGAACTTTAAAAATTGCTTTATAAATGGCATCACGTTAGCAAATTTATTCAAGCCATAATAAAAGAAAATCTTCCCATACAGCTTTAAATTCTTACCTCAGACTATAATATTAAAGCCACACTGATATGAAATAAAAGCTTAAAAAGAATTTAAGAACTGTTAAGATAGTAATACATACCTTAATGAAGTTTGCATTGATGTAGTCTGAATCTTGTGGGGGAGTTTTTAAGGTCAATTTAACCCGGCTATGATCAACTGAAAGAAGAATTTTTTTTTTTTTTTAAACAAGAATTACATGTAAATCAGTACGTAACAGTAAATACAATATACATAGTACTTATTATACGTATAGAAGAAATTAAGCATTAAAGAATGTTTCCCAAAGATAAGTCACAGACGCAAGTCAGTCAGTTATAGGTAAACCAACTCAAGCAGAGTAGCTCCTACGGCTATGGGCTTCTGATGCTCACATTTACAGAGTACCAATTACGGAAATTCCAAGAGCAGTTCATTCCAGACAGGCAAAATTGAATTGATCAGAAGTAACCAAAATTGTAGTTACACAATATTAACACACATCATGACTGTCAGAATTAAACACATATTCACAGAAAGCAGAAAGAATAAAACACCAGTCCACAGTTAAAGCAGCCAGCAGGTGTTAAAAGTCTCTGCCAAGCAGGACCCATCAAATATTACAACATGAAACATCACGGGGGTTTATAGCTCAGGCACAGACTAACTTCTATCCCCTAAACACTGGGCCAGGCACTTCGCTAGGGCACTTCTAAACTAGAAGCAGCAGATTCCTTCATTTAGGGGGTTTTGACATCTCAGGTTTCTGCCTCAGGCATTACCGACTGTCCCAGAGAAAGCTTCTTCTAGAAACGGCAGATCTTTGGAAACGAAAATCCTCAGCAGTCCTAAAAATAGCCTTTATTGCATGTTGACAGAATAAACTAAGCATCTTGAAATTTTTTCGTGTTGAAAAAATTAATATAGAAACGACTCAATGAATCTTACTAAGAAGGAGGGTAGGTGGCTGGCAAGTTCGCCAGTCCTTCCAGCTCTTGTTGATACCAACACTTCCTAGCTATCACATCAAAACCATTCAAACTATCTCTACAATAGAGGCTGCTTTAGTTGGAAATCCAGATTAAAAACAAAAAAGTTATCTACAAACTGGGGAACAGAGGCATCTGCAGAAACAGCATCTGCTCAAGCAATTTCTTTTCCTTTCTACTTCCAGAGTCAACTCCTCAACCACAGAACAGCTGGTAAAACTTTTATTACGGCTAAACAAGAAAAAATAAAGAATGAGTCTTAACTAAAAAGCAGAAATATGGTTGGTTGGTGTTTTGGGGGTTTTTTTTTGGTTTTTTTGTTTTTGTTTTTGTTTTTTTCTTTTGTTACAACACCACTGGTAATAAAACGAGGAACCATGCCCACAAGTAGTACATAGTAAGAGCTATTTCTATACAGAAAGCTCTGGCAAAAATCTTCCAAGGTACTTCCTTCCAAGACAGTGAGATTTTCTACCAGGGTCCTGATAATATGCAAAACACGTTTGTGTTACCATGTAATCCTTCCTAAAAAAGCACAAGCGTAGATTACAAGACGTTTAGAACACAGATCTAAAGACAACACACTCTCACATAAAGGCCTGGAGAAACCCTTAAAACACTTTAAAGCATGCAATGGTGTCTCACACTTAATAAAACTACTTTTAAACAGCAGATCAGACTAATTAAAGTGGTAGGCTAAAGAGGGCTCCAATCTTCCCAGCACAGTAGATCCAAAATTCTAGAGACATTTCCAAATGCCAACATTTCCAGCCTGCCTGCATCTGCCACGGCTCAGCTCTTTAAGAGCTTTTGGTCTGGAATACAATTCTCCAAGAAAAAGTCCATTGCAGGTTCCAGCTTCAGAAGATTAAGTGCTTGGATATTTACACATAGCTTAAAGGCTCAGTTCACAATATTACCAACTGGTATTTTCCGGTAACCATTGAACACCACATTTCATTTAACTAGCATTTAGGATGGCTTAGTAAACTATAGTGTGAACATGCACACATCTTTTACTCTGAAGCCAGTTGTGAGTTAGTATTGAGGTGCTGATCTCTCTGGCAGCAGTAACAATTTGTGATAAATATACACTAATCTCCAGTTAAGTTACAAATGTAAGTTCTTCTCTAGATTTATAAAATATAGGCAAAGTATCATCCCCCTTCCCCCTCCAAAACATCTCCTGGCTTTCATTTCTGTCAAGCTGGTCTCCCATCACTTTATTGCTTGAACCTTCAGATGTTTGAAGGCATTCTCAGTTTAACTGAAAATACACCTTCAATCTTCCTCAATGTCAGCTTTGAGGTTTGCTCATTTTCCCCACTGTGACCTGCGAACCCTTGCAGATCCCAATGACTCAGTTTTTATTTTCATGCAGATGAAAGAAAAGCACATCTACCGCCCTAGTTGCAACCATTCACTACTACAGAAGCTATTGTCTCATCAATCCAGCCTAGGCACTACCAAGGTTTTGCTGTATTGTTCATCATCTACCAAACTTCTAGCACAGAAGAAAGAGTATAACAACCCTTATTAAGACAACAATAACAACTTCCCCTCTCTATTTCACTCCATCAAACATGTTTCCTCCCAACTAAAAAACCAAAACAAACACAAAAACCCCAATGATATTTAACAGTTTTGCTGCAGTTGAGCTTAGTACCACACAACACTTCAACACGTGATATACGTGTTTAACACGTATTTCTTCAAGGCATTAGTCAATAGGACTCCCTGGGAAACTGCTCTCAGGGACAAAGGCGCAGAACAGAGCTGGCAGATCTTTAAGGACGCTTCCCACAGAGTGCAAGAGCTCTTGATCCCCAGGCGGAAGAAATCAGGCAAGGAAGGCAAGAGACCAGCATGGATGAGTTGAGGCCTGCTGGTTAAACTAAAGGGCAAGAAGGAAATGCACAGGCAGTGGAAAGTACCCTGGGCAGGGGACAGGTACCCTGGGAAGGGGACAGGGACACTGCCCGGTTGTATAGGGACAGGGTCAGGAAGGCCAAGGCACAGCTGGAGCTGAACTTGTCAAGGGATGCAAGGAATAATAAGAAGTTACGTCAACCAGAAAAGGAAGGTTAAAGAAAGCGTAACCCCCTGATGAGCAAGACTGGCAAGCTGGTAAGAACAGACAAGGAGAAGGCTGAGGTACTCAATGATTTTTTTTTTTTTGCCCCAGTCTTTACTGGCAACCTCTTCCGACACATCTCGTGAGGATGGGCCGCAAGATGGGGACTGGGGGAGCAAAGCCCCTCCCACTGTAAGAGAAGATCAGGTTTGTGACCACCTGAGGAACCTGAACACACCTGAGTCTACAGGACCTGATGAGATGCCTCCCAGAGTCCTGAGGGAACTGGCTGATGTAGTTGCTAAGCCACTCTCCATGATATTTGAAAAGTCCTGGCAGTCAGGTGAAGGCCCTGGCGACTGGAAAAAGGGAAACATTGCACTTGTTTTTAAAAAGGATAGAAAGGCGGAGCCTGGGAACTACTGATCTGCCAGCCTCCCCTCTGTGCCTGGGAAGGTCATGGAATAGATCCTTCTAGAAGCGATGCTAAGGCACATGGAGGACAGGGAGGTGATTTGAGACAGCCAGCATGGCTTCACCAAGGGCAAGTCCTGCCTGACCAACCTAGTGGCCTTTGATGGTGGAGTGACTACATCAGTGGGCAAGGGAAGAACTATGGTTGCCGCCTGTCTGGACCTCTGTAAGGCCTTTGACATGGTCTCCCACAACATCCTTCTCTCTAGATAGGAGAGATATGGATTTGATGCGTGGACTGTTCAGTGGATGACGAACTGGCTGGGTGATTGCATCCAGAGGGTAGTCAGGCTCCATGTCCAGATGGAGATCTGTGATAAGTGGCATCCCCAAGGGGTCTGTACTGGGATCAGTGCTGTTTAATATCTTCATCAATGACAGACAGTGGGATCGAATGCACCCTCAGCAAGTTTGCAGATGACACCAAGCTGAGTGGTGCAGCTGGCATGCCTGAGGGACAGGATGCCATCCAAAGGGACCTGGACAAGCTGGAGAAGTGGGCTCGGGTGAACCTCATGAGGTTCAACAAGGCCAAGTGCAAGGTCCTGCACCTGGATTGGGGCAACCCCCGGTATTAATCCGGGCTGGGGGCTGATGGGACTGAGAGCAGCCCTGCCGAGAAGGACTTTGGGGTACTGGCGGATGAAAAGCAGGACATGACTTAGTAATGTGCGCTCACAGTCCAGAAAGCCAATCGCAATCAAAAGAAGCGTGGCCAGCAGGTCGAGGGAGGGGATTCTCCCCCTCTACTCTGCTCTGGTGAGACTCCAACTGCAGTGCTGTGTTCAGCTCTGGAGTCCTTACCACAGGAAAGACATGGACTTGTTGGAGCAGGTCCAGAGGAGGGCTACAAAAATGAGAGGGTTAGAACACCTCTCCTATGAGGAAAGGCTGAGAGAGAGGGGGCTGTTCAGCCTGGAGAAGAGAAGATTTCGGAAGACCTTATTTCAGCCTTTCAGTACTTAAAGGGGGCCTATAAGAAAGATGGGAGCAATCTTTTTAGCAGGGCCTGTTGTGATAGGACAAGGCATAACAGTTTTAAACTAAAGGAGAGTAGATTCAGACTAGATATAAGGAAGAAACTTTTTACAGTGAGGATGATGAAACACTGGAACAGCTTGCCCAGAGAGGTGGTAGATGCCCCATCCCTAGGAACGTTCAAGGTCAGGCTGGACAGGGCTCTGAGCAACCTGATCTGGCTGAAGATGTCACCGATCACTGCAAGGAGGGGTTGGACTAGATGACCGCTAAAGGTCCCTTCCAACCCAAACTACTCTATGAGTCTATATCCTCCAGCAAAACATGAACACACATGCCTTTCCTTCCCAGTGCAGCAGCAAGCACTGATCAACAGTAAAAATTCCAGCACTAGAAAAACAGATCACACAGGTATACGAGCATCTGAAACACACAATAATTCACTGGAGTTTATTACCAGAACACATTCTGAAAATGAAAGGTAATGATGCTTAAGACCATTCACAACTTTGAATTGAAAATAAACCTCCTAACAGCTCTGAGAAAGCTAAGCAGAGTAAAATGTATCTGTTGCTAATTGTCTAGGATATGAAAAATGGCATTTGTCAGAAGACTATCCTTTAATCTCACTGTTGGCTGCTCATATTGAGAAGCACAGTAAGAGCTTCTGAAAGACATGGCCTCATGAGCTACACAAAGTGAGCTTGTAACAGGCAATCTTGTTGTTACAGATCAGTGATCTGTTATATCCACACACAGGTGGTTTTAAAATTTAAATTCCGCTCTGACTCTTGTTTTCTGAGTTCGTACATCAAACAGTTTCATTTGGGCTCTAGCAAAATACAAACCAAAGATAATCCAGCACTGAAAGTTTCACTGACACTGTTTGCGGTACACAAACAAGCCAAAAAAGACCTATTTTACTTCCAACCACAAAATCAGGTTCCTTAAAATTTCATCTAGAGTTTATGCTGACATTTGTTTTCTACCATGAATAATACACTCCTAAGGAATAAATATAGTTAAGCACCTAGTAAAGTTCTATGCTATTCTGAGCTAAAATGAAAGTGTCAGCTTGATATGGCTTGGGACCTAGCACATGTTTTATCTTTAGGTGATAGCTTTTCTAGTAAAATACAAGAATGTTCACTCACTTTCCCTTCCAAGTTAAATAAAAATTATACAAAAGTTATCTTTCAGCAAATTATCTCCAGTTTTGCTTTTTTTCAGTAATAACTAAACAGTAAAATTCAGAATACATTAAGAATAACAAGCACCTTCCTTTGTCTTCTATTAACATGTAAATCAGACTTACATGGCAAAATATCCTTGTATCTATTCTTTTTAACATTTTCTTCTTTTTCTCCAGTGGCTGTTGGGTAGATCTTCTCTGTTCTGTATTTTGTTGATAATCTTCTTAACCTCTGAAATAAAACAATTATTTTATATTTTCAAGTCTGAAGATAACAGAAACATCACAAGGTATTAGCTTCATTGATGAAGTACAAGAAGCTCACTCAAAAAACCCCTCTTCTTTCCTTTTACAATATTCACTATGATGAAGTTTAAATATCTAATTATCAGTACTTTTAGCCCATCAGCAGTTTACAACCAAGTTGAAGGCAGCTCTATACATCATGAGACATGGAACTTTGGAAAAGCCACTACAGCACCAGTATGGAATATGGCTATGTTTTATTTAGGAAATACACTGCACTGAAAATACCTGTGAGAAACAGAAAAATCTGTTATTGCTCAAAATACCCGGAGGAAGAGCACAGAGCAGGCTGGCTGAGGAACAGCTGTTAGCAGCCGGCACTTTGCTCTGAAGCACATGGCTCCCAACACTGACAACTGAACAGAAAGCAAAATCTCACTTTTAACAAGCATCAACTCCTAACGCCCCGCTCCTGATGAGTTTCAAGCTCACCCAGAGAAAGAAGGTCCCTGCCTCTCAGGTACAAGGTATTCACAATTAAGATGAGTGACAGGAGGAGGTCTGCTGTATCCACAACAATATGTCATTTCTCCCCCTCCACCTATCAAATCCTAGAAATCTGAAACAGTCAAAACTTCTAACAATAAAATCCAGCCCATGCCTTCCAGCAACCTAGGAAATAACAAGAGCAATACAGCTTTTATCATCCCACTCATATCAAGCCTTTGCAACCTTAAAACCGAGGAGGAAGAAAAGAGCATAAACCCTCTTGGAAAAAAAAAAATTTAAAAAATACAAGAGGAGCCAGCAGTGCTTATTATTTTAGATTGTGTAGACATCTAGATTTAAAAAGAAACCCAAAGAACTCAGAAAGTTAACTCTGGCTTCCAGCTAAAGCCAGGTGGTTGGAAAACCAGTCATTCCATCAACACTGACATAGTGGTGGTATATAAGACAACCAAGAGGAAAACAGAGAACGTAGCTTCAAAGAAGTTTAGCACCTCCATTGAGTGGTATTCTGCATAGGTAGAAGGATAGAGGTTGTTCATGTTCCCCTCCCTCCATCTTCAGTGTTTGATTACCATCCCTGAAGTCCCCAAATGCTCATGGCTTGCTTGCATTTGGGGAACGGGGAGAATGGAGGAGGTTGGTCGTTAGTTAAAAATATAAATCTTGTTTATCACTGACTATGCAACAACATACAGGCAGAAGGGCATCATAAATAAGATTATCTGCTTGGAAAGACAGTTTTCTTCTTGAATTCTTCTAAAACTACTAAAACAGTTGGGACACTTACTGCACACTTCAATTTTTAAAAAAAATAAGAAAAAAATGAATTTGCAACTCAAGTCCTCCAATAATTCTTCCAGAAAAACAAACAAACAAACACAAACAAACAAACAAAACCACAAAAAATTTAGCATTTCTGTTACACACAGAAAAAGCCTTTCATTAAATCTGTCTGGATATAGTGAAATACTCTTTCATTAGATTTGTCTGGATATAGTGAATTCTATGCATCTAAGAATCCAAAAAAGTGGCATTTACAGAGCAGAAACGATGGCACGGTAAAATTTTAAAAATTTTTTCCAAAGGGTAAATCAAGTACCACCACTTTTCAGACAAGTTTTTTTTTCTCTTCTCCAAGGACTTCATCGCAGATTAGAGCACTGAACACTAAAGAGAGTAGCAGAACTACCAGGCAGAGTTTTTTCCTTGAAATGCATTCCTCTTGAAAAACTTGCAGTGTTAGTCAATGAAGAAAAAACAGTAAATATTTGGAGGTGGGACAGTAAGTCTCTGACCACCCAGCGATCGAAGTGCTAAACACATTATCTGAAAACATTGCTACAGTGAGGAACAGGAAGACTCAATTCTTGAAAAGACATGTGAACGGTCACAGGAAGCTTCCATGCAGACTACACTCATCTTTGCAACACCAAACAAAGTCACAACGTAACCTGTATACATAGCAGGCAGAGAAACCTGTTTGTAACATGGTACAGACATAAAGAATATCAGTGCACATGGGAGACATTGTCCTATGTAATACTGCCCTTACCGGTGTCAAAATAGAACATACTGCCTGTGCTAAGACTGGACACAATCAGGAATCTACAAATAGCAAAATAAATGCACATAATTTAGCTAATTTAGTTATATCAGCTAAGAATTGCAAGACTGAGAAATAGGTGGAAATAGGCTATAAACCTCCAATTCAGAAAAAGACAAAGGCAAAGAGATACTTTCCAAGCACAACCACTAATATGATTTTACATATTGTTCCACATCTCAACCTGGCTGTGAGTTTTGGCATTGGGTTTTTTTACACCCTACTGATTTTTAGGAGACAAATGATTTTGCTTAGAAAAAGTAAAAGAAAGAAGTTTAGAGAAAAAACAACCTCTAAAACCCGTGAGAAGAAGCAGAAGTTATTTTGCATGAGAAAGGATACACCTGAGTAAGTAATACAGGAAAAAGGTTAGGTATCAAGAAGCACCCTAGGAAGATGATCCTTTTTGCTCTAGCCCATTTAAAAGGCATGCAAGAAAGAACACTCACAGGTACAGCTTGGACCTACTGTAAACCAAAAATGCTGGAGTGACTAGTACCAAGTTCCACTTTCTAGAAAGTGATGTCATGAGAATTCAGCATAGCCTTCTCCCCTGCTTGTTTCAATAGCTGTACCATCTGCTAAACAGACTGGAAAGTAGGATTAGCACAGCCCAGCTCCAAGGCAAAGACTGGAAATGAAATACAGGTTGATTTTAACACACACATGTTCCTAAAATACTTTAGGATCCACGCTTTTAATGCATGTTTGTCAGCTGTTCTGTGACATGGGTAATAGAAGATAAGTACAGTCCTGAGAGCAATCAAAAACATAAGTAGTACTCTATGATTTGTAGTAGTATCTGTTACATAGAGTAGTATCTAATTCATGCTTTGGAAGAGAAAGAATTGACTAAAGAGTAAAGAAAGAATTCTAAAAACTGAGCTTTGAACTACCACAGGAATGGAGAAGTGCCAGACCCAGCAGAAGATTTTGCCCTACACGCAACAGAACATTTCTGCAGAAAGCTATTACAGCATGCACACACAGCCTGCTGCAGGATGCAAGAGATTCAGTGCTTCCTAGGTTACAGCTAGAATGACCAGAAAGAGAAGAACGTGCTCAATAGCAGAATGGGGGTAATGACAGTGCAGAAGAAAGGATTTTGTTCCGACTATGGTTAAGATGATGACAAGGTCGCCAGTAAGATCGTCACAGTCCAGTTTCATGCTAATTCATAACAAACAACTGCCTACAGTACAAAGCAGCACTCATTTGGGTTAAGACAGCAAATTGCCAAATCGCTTCCCAGAAGATACTCAGACGCCAACAGCAGGGACATTACAGATCCAGCCTGGTGCCTCTGCAGATAACAGTGGATGCTTCCGTGACATTTGCATATTCACTGGAACTGCTATTCTGGTACTACAAAAACCTTCATTTATGTAATTCTTTTAAGAACAAAATGGTCAGACAGCATATACTCATGATTCATCATACTTAAAGAACTACATTCAAAGCCTTAAGTTCCATTCTCATTAGAAAAGCTCGAGTCTAATACTGCTTATTCACTGCATGACAGAAGTGGTTTGTGGGATGGTGACAAACACTTACCACATGTGACGGTGGGGAGATGAGCCTTTGAAACAACTTGAGTTTCAGAAATATACTTCCAACTTCCACAGTGGTTCTACAGTCTGTACTACAGACCTACTTTGGTGTTTTTACAAAAAGACAAACTAGCTTTTCAAACCCAACTTATGGAACCCTACCATATTAAGAGCAACTTAGTCCAATCAGTTCAGGAAACACAGGTCTGACTTTCGCAGTCAACCTATTTCTTCTATTTAACACTTTAGAAAGCCTGTAAAGACACATTGCTTAATACCATAGAAATGTTGTTTGTGGATTAAAGAAAACATTTATACTGCTATTGAGTTTTCAAGAACTCGCTTTAAAAGCTTGAATCTTCTTTAAGTTACAAAAGTTCTTGTGACTCCTTTCCGGGCACTTCTTTTCAAGGAAAGTGTGACAAGTATTTCACCAGGGCTTCAATTATTTGAGGTCCTCAAATCATCTCCTAAGCCTTATCTGACATTTCTGATGGTCAAAACATCAGTTAGTAAAACAGTGATGTTTGCTAGAATCTCCTTTTTGACCATACCAGAGGAACAGTGCTTATCATAGCATCAAACGTCAGCTGCTAGATAACTCCACAGCACCCATGGTTCACTTGCTAAGTGACAACAGGCAACAGCAGCAGGCTTAGGAAGCTACATGGCCAGCTAAAGCAGCAGAGTTGTGAAGTAACATCAATCACACAAGAACATACTCTGTTTCGCAAAATTTGCTTAAATGCATTATGAAATAATCAAAGAACGGAAAATGAAAGAAAAGCTTCCATTAAAGTTATCTTAAAAAAAATCAAAGCATAAAAAAATACTAGGAACATGTGTTGTATTAACGCACTCATTTCATGAAACAAGACAGCTATTTCTATCGTAAGCTTGATATTGCATTGTTCTTATTACCAGCAGGGGAAGAAAAACACATGAATTATGTTCAGCTGTGCTCTTATCCTAACAATTTAGATAAACATTTCTAGGACAGAATAAATTTCCCAGTACTTTCATACAGTGAGAAAAATGTACCTGTAAGGAGCAGTGTGAACCGAACTACCACAAAAATGTCAAAATAGCTATCTTCTGGTTATCAATGGTCAGATTACACACGTTTCAGACTCTGTACCCATACTATGAACACAGAGATGCCAGAGATGCCTTTGTCAAAACACAGCTCACGTGCAGACTCAGATGCATCACTGCTCAAATGTGGCTCTGACTTTCTAAAACTGCTTTGGTTCCAGAAGTACTTTAGCCTGAAGTCCCTGCAAATTCAACTGGAATTTCCCTATACCACTTTCTTATCACCGAGGGCTCTGGGAAGCACCAAGACAAACTGATGCTAACAAACTCGGCTGAAGGATGGACTACTCCGAGTCAGAAGTACCTCTGCAGCTCTGCGTTGCAATAGGAAGGAATAAATGCACACAGTGAGATGGGTTTCCTTTAGTCACTCTGCCAGAACAAAAGCGGGGTGGGGACAATGGGTCAAGGTGCAGTTTAGCCCAAAGTTTCTGGGGAAGTCAGAGCTGAATCAACACTGAACTGTCCCACATGGGACATTACTGGTTACCTCACTCCCCTGTTAAGTAGCACAAAATAGAGGTTAATATAATTCCAGGTATCACACTTAAATTTAAGTCTCCCAACTACCTCTGCAGTTTACATTCTTACATTAAATGCTTTGCATCTGTTGTTGCAAGTAAACACAGCATAAAAACAT